CATCCTGATGTTTCTAAATCTTATGTTTTCCTCATTCTTCAGGTTGACAAACCAGAAAGTATAAATTACTCTGCTACTCAATAATAAGCTACTTAGACTTAACAACTATGTACATCAAAAACTAAGAAGCAGATGTGGTAACAAAAATTCTCAAAAAAAGATGGCAGTTTCTCAATCCACCAGAACTAAGCATGGACCTCCCCCATAAACTTTCCTCAAACATTTCAATCCTTGTGAATGTACAGCACTGTTTTCTACATCAAAATATAAACTTGCAATCCACGCCAATAAGTTCTCAAGGTCAAGGACATTACATGTACATGTTAGTGTAAAAACACAGCACTTTCTGCACTACATGAAATTTCCCAAGCTTAAAAGATGCCAGTATGAAGAAGATGCAGACACAAAGGAAGCCATTACCTATCAGCAGTATGATGCAGCTAAAACATACAGTTTAGGTACTGTCACTTTCTGCGAACATTAAAGGAAAGAGCAACTTGAAAAAGGTATCTGAAAATTAAATTAACAGCCGTTTTGGTGGACACAGAAACTGAAATAAGGAATAGATTCCCATGTTGCTGAGAATTCAAGGTATGATAAGGGAAATGAACACTCCAAGGTAATAAAAATACTTATTTTGCTCTGTGTTGCTCTGGACTAAAACCAGTTATAAAAGTATCCGCCACTAGAGCTACAGTTAAAAACAGCCCTTTCTCCCAAATAATATATGCAGCTTTGTTGGACCTTCAAAGGATACTCTACCAGAGCAAAATAGCACAAGTCGAAGAGACGACTTAAAAATATTACTCAATTTAAAAAAGGTTTTAAAAAACTTAAATGAAAGCTTTTGATTACAGGTTAATACTTGCTGTCTTTCCCTCATTTCATATCAAATATTATGTATCAAATATTAAAGTAGCACACACAAAGCCAAATGTCTTATAACCACCATGTATGTGACCTCACCAGATGACCTCCGACTTACTCAGTAGAGTTAACTCAGCAGCAATTATGAATTGTGTGGATGATCAATAGCCTTCACTTGGTAACCAGAAAGAGTGCTCAGTGGCTGACGGAAGGTGATCTTGTAATAGGTTTTATATCAAAAATTAAAAGCCCGCATACTACAAAACTGCCATTTTATTTCACTAAACAGGAAGAATTTTTTGAGATGAAAGAAGTTGAAGGGGGAAACTTAAACTCTAAGGAAAGTAAGTTGCTTTACAACAACTTCTACTCCCCTTCTTCCCTGATAATAAGCAGTTGTAAAACCTCAATGTGTTTGGAAATACAAATGCAGAGGGAACACTTCAAATTCCTACCTTATGAAGAGTGGCTTCCACAGATTATGACCAATAATCAATTCTTTATCTCTATTTCAAGAGGAAAAAAACCACACCAGACTAGTTAATAAAACTGAACCTCTACTGATGTAGAAATTAATTTTAAAAATAACTGTCAATAACTCAAGCTGTTACATGTGTATCTCTCCTTTTTATATCTCCAATGAAAATCCTAAAAAATTGTTCATGGACCACTTATCCGGCACATTTCCATACGCAAGATGCTTCTGTTGTGAATAAGCAATGAAACTAGCTGTATTTATAGGCTCTTCTCTGTGTTGTCCACTGACAGGACAAGGGGCAACGGGAGCAAGCTGGAGCATAGGAGGTTCAACCTGAACGTGAGGAAAAACTTTGTTACTGTGAGGGTGACAGAGCACTGGAACAGGCTGCCCAGAGAGGTTGTGGAGTCTCCTTCTCTGGAGACATTCAAAACCCGCCTGGACGCATTCCTGTGTGACCAAGTTTAGGTGATCCTGCTCTGGCAGGGGGGGTGGACTGGATGATCTTCTGAGGTCCCTTTCAACTCCTGATATTCTGTGTGTGATTCTGTATCAAAGAACCACTATCACGTTCATGGAGAAGAAATCTGCAGTCTTGTATAAAAAGGGCATGTTGAATGGAGTCCACACTCTTGCAGGAAGAGATTACTCACATACTGGAAAACACTGACAAATTCTGGTTTTTATAAGTCACATGGGCCTAACAAATGTACTTATATGCACTATATATATAGTACTAGTACCATACTACTTCTGTCTTCTCTAAACCTGAACATTCCACTGATCCTTTTCCTAAAGAAGCCTAGTCAAGATCCTATCCTTACAAAATGGAAGTTTGGAGAATGAAATAAATTTTTGCTATAAAAAATATGGTCTCACCTGATGCATTGACAGAAATGGAATTAAGAGTTGCATAATACCATATGACTATGGAGAACAGGACAGTGTGACCAACAAAATACCACAGGAAATCAAACTGGATCTATGCCAGATAAGGTGATACACCTTAATACTCCAGGACTGTCTTTTACCTTGCCAGCTATGTATTTTGTTCGAGCACTTACAGTTCCTCAGACAGAAGCCAAAACCATTACACTGTTCAGCACAATGACCACTACTTCCTCATCTCTTGATTCATACTATCCTAACAGCAAATACAGGAAGGTGGCCAGAAAAGGAGGATTGGCTTTCACACTGCTAGTGAAGCTGTCACATAGATTTTTCTCTTTTCAGGATCTTGCCATTCTTTGGACTAGAATGACAGGGACATGCTGTTCACCTCTTCTTCTGGCCTCACTTATGTTGTGATGCTCTTTGTCTGGGTGAAGTCAGATCTAGAGACTCAGTTCAACAACACTAATTTCTAAGTTAGTTCCTGACACTGAAGGCAGTCTGTTTCTCTTGTATTCTCTGGTATTCCCCATAAAAAGGAAAGTATCTTTAGAAGGAATTTTGGATTCAGGTTAATAGGTGGACCCCAGGTTCTTATTGTTGTGAACAAAAAGCCCTCTGACTACAGTTGATATAGTACCTTAAATAACATCTTAAAATAAAAGTCTGGTAATATTTGTTTATAGCACCCAGGAAAAAATATTTTAAAAATTAATCTACTGCAGCCCTACATGGCAGGATCCACATTTCATTCAAACCGTATTTCATGTATTCATTAACTTCCACAAGTGTAAGGGAAATTGGAACTTGAGCACAGAACCGTTCTTTAGGATTATTATCCAGAAATGTAGTTCAGGCATCAGGAACATGCTTTACATCATCTTCTACGCAATAGCTGGGGTGAAGATTTGACAGTTTCTGTCTAGCAGAGAAATTACCAAAAGGCTACTGCATTTCTGTTAAGTTCACTGCTATCAGACACTTTTATTAATAGTGCTTCATACTCTGGAGGAAAGTAGAACAGAACTGCAGACCACCACCGCAAGAAAATCAAGATAGCCATTGTCAGAATGAGCCAGCCATGTTGCTATCCTTTAAAGCTGTACAAAAGATAGGAAAGAACTTGAAAGACATCTTTGTATTGCTTACAGTCACTCGGGTTATGGAAGAGGTATTACAATAAAATCTTCTGGATGAAAGAAAAGTCTATATCACCTACATTGTATATATGTTCCAAAGGGCAAAAAAAGACATTTGTTATGAAGAGCTGGTAGAACAATAAATCTTATGGGTTTTTTCTTTGTCAATACTCAACTGCTAGATACAGAAATAAAAACAATTTTAAAACCACTTCACATTAAAATAACCTTTTCTGAATATAAGCAGGGCCACAGGGAATGATCTTTACTAGAGTGCATAAAATAGGTTGGGGCAGGGTGAAAAGGGGCAAGCTTTCCAGAACAAATCCTTCTTCATGTCTGCTTTAATACACTCATACTAAATAAGATTTGTCATTTTAATTAGCTTGTTAAACATTTCACTATATTAATTACAGTATTCCACTTGTGGATAAAACCCTTATAGCTTCTAAGCTACTGTTCTTCACAGGTCAAATGTATTCAAAGTGTAATGAGAAATTTTAATTTTAAATTAAACTTTTAAAAAATCTTTCCCATGGACCAACAATATGCAAAGTACTACAACAAGAGTAACAGATAACAGAGTCTGCAAAGATTTATCTTTTTATCTGACTATATGACTGCAAGTGGTTACTCATAATCTGGTTCAAGTCAATGGTACACCTTTTGACTACCAATCTTTTAAAAATTGGTCCCTGAATGTTTCCTTCCACTCTCCAGGTTATGGTACAAAAAGGTATGGGTGTTATGTCTAAATCCAAAACTCTATGGAATCAGCTGAAAGATCTATCCTGTTCCACAGACGAGACTAGGTCCAAAATGGGTTTCAGCCCCTTTGGCAGCTCAGACCTGTCACTAGCTGACATTTCTGTATTTATTATAAATACATTGTATTTCTTTATGAAAAGATGACATGGAAATAGAGAAAACAAGCAATCATTTCTTAAACAAACAGAGCATTAGGGATCCACCACAGAGATGCTGTCAAATCAGTAAGATAATTGGCAAACGAAAATGCCCATGCTGTTTCAGGACCCAGAATATGGAGTACTATTATGGGATAACCGCAGAAAACATACAGTCTAGTATCTTGAACTAACAGTTTTCTTTGTAGAAGACTATCACTGAATTTCAAAGAGAGACAGATGTACTTTTGTTTTCTAGCATTACATTAGCCAGGGCTAAAACCCTGTGCATGAAAGCAAGAATTGATCTTTTGTCCGTTTTAAGTGATCTCCCCAAGGTCCCCATGCTCACTTCGCTGCCATGCAGAGGGCACTCTCTGCATCATGGATGCTCTCTTTCAGCCGATGCTTGTCCTGCTCCAGCTGGGTAAGAAGTCTATTGAGCTGACGCAGAGATTGATCTTTTCTTCTCAGCTCCACTTTTGCCTCTGAGAGTCTCTGCAAGCAGACAGAAAGCAGAGTTACTTGTCAGCCAAAATAATTAACTTCAATTTATGCCATAGGCTATTAAACAAAGTGGAAAACAGACTGACTGTGAAGTAGATTTGGGCCATTACATACTAAGCTTTTATGAATTCTCTAGCAAAAACATTACTAACACAGAACCCCCCCCACCCCCCCGTTTTTGTCATATTGCCTATGTACAAATATTTTTATTTAAAAAGTGATTCGTCGATCAAACAGGTACATATACTATGCTACAGGCACTATATTTACAAATACCAGATCTAAACACAGTGAAAATAATCAAGAGTACAGCACTAAAGAGAATATTCTCAAAACTTAATTTTAAAATAAGATTAAAGAAAATAATTCACAAAGGAAATAAACAAAGTAGCATTTATTTAAATACTCTGCACTATTCAGAAATTTCAGGATGTAAAAAATAAGAATCTAATATTTTGTGTTAGTGCATTAAGTACATTTTTGCTGCAATTCCTGCTAAGCATAAATCACTATTTTATGGTGCTTTCACTATTTTAACATCAGTTTTCCAATACGCAAAATGGTATGTGAATTTTTTTAATGTTTCTCTCTGGCTTAGAATTAACCCAACATGCTGTAAATCAATTCAGATTAATCCAATACATGACAAATAGCACACAGAACTAATTAATACAGAACCTGGCTAGTTGCTACTCCTTTCTGCTGGGATAAATCAATACTTTCATAGACTGGAGTATTAATAATGTGATTTCATAGTTTGCTAAATGTTACATTTTACTTACAGATTGTTAATTGCCTTTTTAGACAGAGACTATATTAGGTGGCTATAAACATTCTTTCACAAAATGCTAATTCCCTGACAGATTCTCAACCAACAGAGAAGGCTGCGCAGTTGCAAGACTGTGTTCTTGCACTTTGTTTTCAAAATTTATGGATGTGTTTTCTGTTTAAGTTCTAAGAATGCTTTGCATAATTTGTACTCAGGGGTACTTGACCTGGACTGTAGAACATGGATAATATGTATTATGCTGTCGATATGTACTAAGAATAGTGTATATACAAAAGGCTAATAAAAATTTGGAGGACACAGAAAACTCAACTAATTTGAAAAAGCTTCAGACCTGGCCAAGAGTCAAAGGCACTTCAAAAAACAATATGCTAGAGAAAATTTCTACAAAATAACAAAATACAGCATAAAACTGCATAATGCTGCAAAATAAACTGAAATCTGTGGATTGGCTTAAGCGTTCTTCAAACATTTCTCAAGACAAAAAAAGCAACCAGTTATTTTAACAGCATATTTGGAAGGTACAGCACCACCACCTGAACACTCTGTTCAGCACTTTACAAAATCCAGGCTGAGATTAATCCCTGCCATAAGAAAAAAAGAAAAAAAAATCAGGAATTTAAGAAACTCTAAACCCCAGATATGTTAATATTACTCTTGCTCAGATCACTGCAGGTTGAGTAAGTCTGTTGTGTTTCTTACGTCATTATTTTCGATGAAGAAGGCCATTTTTCACCTAAGAAAAGATAAACACACAGATCTCATTGTTCCACTGCATTATTAGCATAATGATATCTAAAACCAGAAGTGTTGCTTTTTGAAATTCTACCCTAATGCCACCAACAGCTACCAAAATCCGCTCTGAACAGCTGAATTTCTTAATTACCAAATTTTCAGAAGAGTTATTTCCAAGAAAGCAGATGTGGATTAGCAAGGATACAAGGAGACATCTTTAATTTAAGAACAAAGAACATTATCATTTCTATTTATTGTGTTTACTGTTAGTTTGGTTTAGGTTAAGTCATTGTCTCCTCTCATTGAGGAGACAGCTCTGAAAACCAAGTCAAGTCCCCCCCTGCCCATATTCTCATCTTTTGACAAACAAAATTTATCGAACAGAGAACAACGTCTCTGGTGCCAATGCTTCATCCACGCCACTGACTGAAAAATCTGGTTTTAAGATACAGTCACAGGACTGAGTTTTGGTCAATGTAGAATAGAGAATTCTGCTAATATTTTGATGCAAGCAGCTTTTGATGTAGAGGCTGCTGGAACAGAGTCTGACTCCAAGATTCCAGTGATCTAAATGAGCGAAGAAAGACAGGATAATGGGAACATTATGCACATTCATTTAATTTTTATTAGATAGCTATCCTTCTACAGGGGCTGAAGAGTTGTCTGCTCCTACATAAAGCTTTTATCATTGACCACAAATGGTGGAGAGATCCACTAGGTGTCAAAATCGTCTGGAAGCTGCTAATTAACCTTGTTTAACAAATGCAAGTGCAGGACTATTAATGAAGCAACAACAGAGATGAAAGCATGAAGCCTAACTCTGAGAGGCATGGCCAGCAATCCACACTACCTGGTGACAAAGCAATATAGAAATTATTAAATCAAATACCTCACTGAACAGCTGTTTTATTGTATTCAACACTTTCACCATTATATACAGTAATCTCCAAAGGATTCAGACTTTACTTGTCAATAATATTGCAATCTCTAAGAAAGATGCAAACTGATTTTAGCTCTCTAAAAGCAGTCTCAGCATTCACTTGAAGCTCCTTGCTACTGTGGGTTAAAGTCAAGCCTTGGAAATTGCTCAAATACAGTGTGGAGTATTCTAAAGTAATGACTGCTAAGCCTATCTTTTTTTCCTTCTTCAGACTGATCTAATTAAAACCCTTGATAAACTTTATGGACTCTAATATTTCCAGCTGAGTGACTGAAACCAAGAGGGTGTGCCTCAAGGCAGCAAGGCAACAATGATAAGCAGCAGGTTAGCCACTAATTTCTCAGCCAGAGTAGATTGTGAAAGTGTGATGTTCTGATATCCAAGAAAGTGTTCAGGAGAGAATAGGATAAATCAAGTTTAATAACTCTGTTCCTAATTGTTCCCTCAATGCTCCACTCTAATTACTTGGAGAACTCTCCTGACTGTCACCTGATATTAAGTTGTTGGAGGCTGAGTGTGGAGCAGTGAGATAATCAATAAACATTTAGTGGGGAGAAGAATGAAGATCCCGTTAAGCAGTGGGAACCTGCAGCACCCAAAGCCCTTCTGCTCATGAGAAAACCTATGGGAGAGCCATAGTGATTGCAAAGCAATAATCCAAAGCACTGTTTTTAGGCCTTGAGGCCTTTAGGCAACAGTACATTTGAGAAAAAAAGGTTAACATGGTCACCCTAATTACAGCCCATTTTCACATTCTTCATATATAAGCGAAGACAAGCCAATTAGGTAGAAAGGAAGATAAGGGAAGTTTTATTTGTATACTAATTAAACCCCTGATGAAATTAAAGGAAAAACATACAGCTCTGTAATTGTGTCTGAGAAAGGTCACTTCAGGTTCAGTTATCAGAAAAGCACAGCCTTGAGATATTTCACTTAATCCACAATATAGCCCTTATTTTGCTCCCCCGGTCTTAGTATTTACAAAAATAAGAAAGTTTCAAAACCTGATAATGCATTTATCTTGAAATGTTTTCTGTGGACAATTACAATTGTTAGAAAGTTGAGGCTAAATATGATAAGAAGAATGAAGGTTTTAAAAACCAACTATGTTTGCACATAGCTCTGTGAAGATGCTGAGCTTTCACTTTCAAGCACAAGTGATTCTGAACCAACTTGGAAGCCAAACTCCAATATACTGACATACCAAAAAGGCCAGTTATCTGTTCAGTTCAGATGTTTAGGCATTCAGGTGCTAATCCAGACATCACTGTACTCCCTCCTGCACAGTCCACCAAAATCTATAGATCAGTTGAGTTTTCATCAGAATCCTTAGGAGCTCCATTTAGTGATTTTTTAGATGTAAGTGCTTCTTTTTCCCCATAAACAAAAAATGAAAAAACATTTGTTGGAGAGAACAGCAAGTAACTCATAGCACTGCAGAAAAATCTCACTGGATATCTGTCAGCTGGGTCCTTCCTCAAATAACTTTAACAAGCTTAGGTTTTGCAGTAAGGAATTTCATTCTTCACAACCAATTACAAAAATAAATCAAAGTTTAACAACCTTACCACACAAAAAAGTACTCTATTCAAAAGACAACAGATGAAAAATCATTCTAGATGAACTATGACAATCACAGAGTTTAAATTCATGCAAAACATGTGTGACACATTTATACTGAAAGCATATTATCCAAGATAAACTAAAGCTCAATCAAATTGCTTACTAAATAGACACAAGACAGCACTACAAGATATGCAAATATGCTGCAGTATACATATTATGAACTAATTTGTGAAATTAAAGATTTTGTCTTCAGGTTAGATGCAAAACACTACTTACTGCTGTATACATTCTGAAAACTGAATACATCCTGAAAACTGTCCTACAAACATAACTAATAGAATTCCACAGTGAAAAAAAGAATACCAAATTTAGCCAGCATCCATTCCTCCACTAGTTGAAACACACTTCCCATTATCCTTGTTGGCAAGTATAATCTTCAGGACGGTCTGAGTGCCCCTCAAAAGACAGTCCACAGATAGCCTAGAGAAGTCTTTCATCTTCAAAAGGTCCAAACCCAAAAGGTACAAAAAGTTACATTAATATTTTATGTCAACTTTTTTAGTGTGCATGACTGTACTGCAAACCAAATCACTTCATCTCAGCTGAATTCCACAGGATGTTTTCTGAAAATAATTCTTACATATCAAGAACAACTCAATATGAAACATCTTCTATCAAAACAGATTAAAAATCTCAGAGAAAAAAGTTCTGTGGCCAAAAAAATATTAATAACTGGGACTTCTCACCAAATAATAAAAAAAAGATACTCTCTAAGACATACATTTAGAGCTACACCAACAAACAAGCTGGATTTACACTTCTCAACTGGAAACCAAATTGTAATATCATGCTCTATCTAGAGTCACTGTGTGCTTCATAGTGGCTGCAGTAGTGTCTTAAAACAGTTTGAAATGAAATCCATGTGGCTGTTCTGTACTTGCAAAGCAGAGTTAACCTGAGGCT